TGTCAATCTACATCAACAAGAGTGAGGGGAAAAATTAAATTTGTTTCTAGAAAAAAGAATTTGGCCCTCATCAAAATGACTTATAAATGCTTCAGAAACTTGGACTTTGGTAAGTCAAGTGTACAAATTAAGCCATTTCAGGATAGCCATTTATTTTATTTTATTTTTAAAGATTTTATTTATTTGACAGAGAGACAGCCAGAGAAGGAACACAAGCAGGGGGAGTGGGAGAGGGAGAAGCAGGCTTCCCGCAGAGCAGGGAGCCTTATGCGCAGCTGGATCCCAGGACCCTGGGATCATGACCTGAGCTGAAGGCAGATGCTTAATGACTGAGCCACCCAGGCACCCCAGGATAGCCGTTTAATAAAAGTAGAAATAAAGACAACGCCACTAATCCAGTGGTAAACCGTAAAGAAGAAAAAGGCAGAGTAGATAGCATAAAAATATTTGATAGAAATAAATCAAATCATAGGAGTTACCACAATAAATGGACTTAATTTGCTAGGTAAAAGATGACAATTCAGTTTTGACCAAAACCAAAAATCTAGTAATATGCTCATTAATGAAATACATCTAAAACATTAACATAGGAAGGCTTAAAGAAATGGAAAGAAAGGGCGCCTGGGTGGCTCAGTTGGTTAAGCGACTGCCTTCGGCTCAGGTCATGATCCTGGAGTCCCGGGATCGAGTCCCGCATCGGGCTCCCTGCTCGGCAGGGAGTCTGCTTCTCCCTCTGACCCTCCTCCCTCTCATGCTCTCTGTCTCTCATTCTCTCTCTCGCAAATAAATAAAGTCTTAAAAAAAAAAAAAAAAGAAATGGAAAGAAAAATGATATAGTAAAAATACTAATATTAACCATATACAGGAAAATATTAACCATATATAAGTTGCCTTAGCTATATAAGATATTAAAACAGCATTCTGAGGGAAAAAGAATGACTACAACAGTGATAAAAGGAACAGTTCACTAGGAAAATGAAATCAATAAATCCAGAAATTTTGTGGAAGATGTTATACTTTTAAGCAAATGATGAAACAATCAGAAAAAATTGGTAAAGCTATGAAAAATTTGAAAACGTTATACATTACATTCAACAATAAGAGAATTTATATTTTTTTCTAGTACACACTGTTAAACATTTGTAAAATTTGACAACTTACTAGTCACAAAAGATTTAACATATACCAAAGAATCAACACCATACAAATAATCTTTTGATGTATTACAAAAAGAATAGAAGTCAATAACAAAAAATAACAATAGAAATCTCCACTTTGGTATGAAAAAAAATGATTTTACATAACTGATAGGTCAAAAAAGAAATCACAAAGTTAAAAAATACTTGAGAGCGCCTTTGAAATCAAAGTTAAGGAGATACATATATAAAACACACTGAAGAGGTCATGCAGTAAAACTAAGAGGCAAAAATGTGTATGCCTTTAAAAACTTACGTTAATAAGGAAGACTAGGGGCACCTGGCTGGCTCAGTCAGTGGAGCATGCAATTCTTGATCTTAGGGTCAGGACTCAAGAGTTTGAGTCATATATTGGGTGGAGAGATTACTTAAAATTACAATCTTTAAAAAAAGGAAGGCTAGACATCAAGGAGCTAGATAGAAGTTAGAAAATGACAACATAAACCCAAAGAATGTGAACAAAGAAAATAATAGAAATTAATAAAGTAGAAAATGAAAAAACTGAGGATCAACAAAAGCTGGTCTTTTGAAAAGATTAACAAAATGGAAAAGATTAACAACTAACAAAATAGATTCAGTACAAAAGAAAGCAGGCACAAATAGGCAATAAAAAAGTGACATAACTAGATAGTACAGAGATTGGAAAAATTTAAGAAATACTGTAACATCATTAAATAAAACAGATGAAGAAATATGCAATTCCTAAGAAAAAGGTAATTTAGCTAAATAGAATCAAGAAGAATTAGAGAATTTATAATCATTTAAAAAACCAAGACAAAAATTTGCCCACAAAACAGGGTAAAATAGTTTTAATGGCAAGTTTTACCAAACCTGAATTGGTAACAATTTGTTCCACAGAGCAAAAAGAGAAGGTTCTCAACTAATTTTATGAGGCTAGTATGGCCTTGCTACCAAAAATATATATGGGAAAGGATATAGGCAAATTTTACTTGTGATCATAGGTATAAAAAATCCTAAGCAAAATATTAGCAAACCAATTCCATCTATTTCTTTAAAAACAAATGTGACAAAAAGTATGGGAAAAACTTCATGACATTGGATTTGGCAATGATTTCTTGGGTATAACAATCAAAAGCAAAGACGAAAAATTGATAAACTGGACTTAATCAAAATTAATAACTTTTGTGCATCAAAGGATACTCCAACAATAAAAAGCCAACCCACATAATGGGGGAAAACATTTGCAAATCACATATCTGATAAGGGATTAATATCTAGAACGTTTAAGGAACTCCTAAGATTCAACAACAAAAACAACCCAATTCAAAAACAGGCATAGGACTTGAACAGACATTTTTCTGAAGGTATACAAACGGACAATGAGCATATGAAAAGACGCTTAACATCATTAATCATTAATGTAATGCAAGTCAATATACCACAATGAGATGCCACTTCACACCAATAGGATAGGTATTGTGGAAAAAACGCACAAAAGTACTAGCAAGGATATGGAAAAATTGGAACCCCTATGCATTGCTGGTGGGAATATAAAATGGTGTAGCCACTCTAGAACACAGTATGTTGGTTCATCAAAATACAGAATTACCATATAATCAACCATTCTACTTCTGGGTATATATTTAAAAATTAAAAGCAGGAACTCAAATAGATCTTTGTATTAGCATATAGATAAAAAGTGGAAACAACCCAGATGTCCACTGAGAGATAAACAAAATCTGCTACATATACCCAATGGAATACTACTCAGTATTCTAGCACTTGAATACTTGAAAAAGGAATGAAATTCTGTTAGGTGCAGACATGGATAAGTGAAATAAGCCAGACACAAAAGGACAAGTACTGTACGATTCCATTTATATGAGGTACCTGGAATAGTCAAATTCATAGAGACAGAAAGTAGAATAGTTACTAGGGTATGGGGGGGTGGGTAAATGGGGAGTTACTATTTAATGGGTACAGGATTTCAGTTTGGGATGATGAAAAAGTTCTGCAGATGGATAATGGTGATGGTGATGGACAATGTGAATGTATGTAATGCTACTGAACTATACACTTAAAAATGATCAAAATGGTAAGTATTTTACCACTAAACTACAAACAAAAAAATGTGACTATACAGTACCCAGCCCATTGCTTGACAAATAAACCAATAGAAAGAAACTTCAGTGTCAAAGACAGCAGATAGATTAATCAATGAATAGTGCTGGGACAGTGGGCTATTCTCTGGAAAATGAAATAAAATCAGATCCCCATTTGACAAAATACCAAACGGTTTAAAGACCCAAGTGAAAAAGAAAAACTACAAATTTTAGAGAAAAACCTTAAGGGAAAAGGTGATAGAGGACATCAATATTTAAAATTCCTGAATATCAAAAAAACATAAGGTAAAAATAAAGTAGAAACAGATAGTTATAGCACATGTAAATAAAGACAAGGAATACTATCTAGGATATATAAAGAGCCCATTCTATTAAGAAAAAGACACGCTATCTAAAAAGTGGGCAAAGTACACAATAAGCAATTCATAAAAGGAATGAGTGACCAATAAACATTTGAATTCTCATAAGTAATGAACTCAAATGAGATAAAATAAATAATTAAAACAAAGAGAAACCATTTCACATTCATTGCCATAGGTAATTTCAATGTCCAATAATACCAAGTGATAGTGTGTGGGAAAACTGGAACTTACATGTTGCTGACAGGAGAGTTATACACTTCTTGTGTCAGGAAAATTGGTACAACCACTTTAGAGAGTAACTCCCCTTCTAGGTATCAACTCCACGGAAACTTATTCACATGTGTGCAAGAATGTAGAATATTCACCGCAGCACTAACTTGTAATAATGAAAAAAGTGGAAGCAAATTATCTCTCAAAAGAATAAGTCTAGTTTATTTATATAATAAAATACTGTACAACGATGAAAATAATCTACATCTGCCAACATGGATAAATCTCAAAAATAATGGTGAGTTAAAACTTGGTTGCAAAAAAATATATACAATATAACATTCACGTAAAATGTTAAAATATAAAACAATTCTTAACAGTGTATGGATAAATGCTACAGCAAGAATACAGAAATACTAAAAATGCAATCACCCAATAGAGAGCTTTCTGTGGTGATGGAAATATTCTTTATCTGCATTGACCCCAACATGGTAACCACTAATTAGGGAACTATCCTGAAAGTCCAAGACATAACAACTTGTGATTTTGCTGAGGTATCACTGAACAATGTACACACTGCCTGGTATTCAGAGCTAGTCACTTACCTAGTCCCTGAGCCTAAGCAACCATTAATTCTTTAATAATGATCTCACATTTTATTTGAAATTTTAAATACAACAGTGGTATAAGGGATCCACGAACAACTTAGGGTATACCCTACTATGCATGCCAAGGATTTATTTTATTCAAATGTTATATAAAGAGTTTCAAAAGATCCTTGGCCTGTCCAAAAATCATTCATTCTAGTATTTTCCACTTAAGGGAAAAATAAAGGCACCAGAAGCTTATAATTAAAACATCTTAATTTGATTACTCATTTCTAAAATTTTTGCAGAAGATACATTCTGAGTAAAACTAAGAGTTTTAGGCAGTTTAAGAAATAGGGCTTAAGTCCAGTTATTTGTATTTAAAATAAAAAATAAACCAAATTTATTAATGGTATAAAAAAAAAGAATCACATTTGAAGTACAGTTTTGAAGAAATTTCCGTGATCTAGAGTTCGGTCAAAGAATATTCCATGGCAACAGTTCAACCCTATTGTGTACTATCTTAGAGATTCTCCCTTGGAGAGATAGAAGGAAGTGTAATAGGATGAATTTAAACAGCATCCAACAAACACTTCACTGTATTTGCTTCATACTTTTTTTTTTAGAACTGCGTCTGGAATCCTTTTTCTGTTTGAAAATCGGAGAATTCAAGAAACACAAATCTGTAAAAGGGTCTCCTCTTCTCAGTTTCCTATAAGGGTAAAAAGAACTCTTAAGCATAATTATAAACATCCCAATACTAATTCACTCTTCAATATAAACGTATTGTAAAATATGCCAGTGCTAATATTCCCACTTCAGTTTTTTTTTTTTTTTTAAAGATTTTATTTATTTGAGAGAGAGAATGAGAGAGAGACAGCATGAGAGGGAGGAGGGTCAGAGGGAGAAGCAGACTCCCCGCTGAGCAGGGAGCCCGATGCAGGACTCGATCCCGGGACTCCAGGATCACGACCTGAGCCGAAGGCAGTCGCTTAACCAACTGAGCCACCCAGGCGCCCTCCCACTTCAGTTTTTAATCAAAATTTTATATTTCAACAAGACTCATTCTTGAACAAAGCTCCAAACCTTACTCCCCCCACATGTATCATTAGAGGTGGGGTCCCACAAATCAAATACTTACGAAGCGAGTGTGGGTTCCTTATAGTTCATACTGACTGCGCACCTGCGCTTAGGCAGCAACACTGCTGGGCTTTCTTTCTTTTTTGGAGAAAGAGAAAGTTTTCTGATTTTCACCTCAGGATACAAGGGGACATTGGTGATATCCTTCAGGCTACAATGAGGTGAGCGGTGAGTTTTAGGTAGTGCACCTATAAAAACAACTTTTAGTGAATATGGTTCCAAATGAAAGGAAAAAAAAAACCACAGGAACTAAAATTGTGTGCAATTACACATCCTAAACATGTACAAATCCAGCATTTTATAATAGATTTTTTTTAAACCATTCATTTTTTATCCCAGATAACACTGAAATATTACTGTGGATGTGAAGAACTGATACAAGTTACTAAAACTTAAAATTCTTTAAAAAAAAAATTACAATTCTTTAACGATAACGTGGGCATAATGAATTACTTTCAATTATGGAATTGCATTTTAGTTCCACCTTCCTCTGTAGAATCATCAAGGCCTCCATCTTTTTCAATACCAAAATTTATCAAGTGGCTTCCTACAGTCTTAAGCCATTTAGGGGCGCCTGGGTGGCTCAGGTGTTAAGCGTCTGCCTTCGGCTTAGGTCATGGTCCCAGGGTCCTGGGATCGAGTCCCACATCGGGCTCCCTGCTCGGCGGAAAGCCTGCTTCTCCCTCTCCCCCTCCCCCTGCTTGTGTTCCCTCTCTCGCTGTCTCGCTCTCTCTGTCAAATAAATAAATAAAATCTTAAAAAAAAAAGCCACTTAAACTCACTTTAATAAATGAGAATTCTACACCATAGCCTCTGTGGAGACTAGCAGGAAAGGGGTTCACTCTGGTAAAGCTAATATGTTAAAAAAGTTACCCAATGTTTTTCCTATCATAGGCATCCAAGTTATTCTACTTTGGAGCTAGATCTGTATTGAGTGACAGGTACTTAGCACACAGAAGGACACTATAAGACAATCTCTTCACACAGCTTTAAAAAGGCAAATTGTTTTTCGTAGTCAAACTATAACTGTAAAATGCCTATATTTAGCAACCAGGGTTATCTAGGTTTCAAATACTGTCTTTTTTTGTCCCCACAGAAGTACACTGTACTATACTAATTATTCCAACTTTTAGTTTGGAAAATATGGCTAAGCAACATCCGATCAGTTGCTATATTCTGGAACAGTACTTCTCAAAATTTATATATATACAAATTCCCCAGGGAACTTGTTAAAAAGATGCAGATTCTGATTCAAGGGTATGGCCTCAGATTCTGCATTTTTAAGAGGTTTCACGTAATAGTGATGCTGATAATCTGGGGATTAAACTCTGACACTATATTAGAGTGTAATTTTTTTTTTTAAACTTACTGTGTAAAATTTCAAGGATACACAAATACAGAGACAACAATAATAATGAAACCCCAGTTACCTAGCTTCAATAATTATCAACATTTTGCCGGTCTTGTTTGATTTTGTAACATTATTATAGCATATTTAAAAAACCACGCATTTGTATACTACCACTGCCTAACTGGTTGACCTTGGAAAGTCATTTAAATTTTTTAGGTTTTAAGTTTCCTTATAAATAATACAAACATGGTAATACCTACACTTCATAGAGTTTTTCTTTTTCTTTTTTTTTTTTTTTAAGGTTTTAATTTGACAGAGAGAGAGAGAGAGCACAAGCAGGGGGAGAGGGAGAAGCAGGCTCCGGGCTGAGCAGGGAGTCCACTGCGGGGCTCGATCCCAGGACACTGAGATCATGACCTGAGCCAAAGGCAGACGCTTAACTGACGTAGCCACCAAGGTGCCCCTTCATAGAGTTTTTCTGAGTATCAAATGAAATAGCATGACAATGTTTTAGGAATGCTACAACCTGACCAAACAAATTAGTTTAACCACACTAAATTTTCCAGATGAGAATCTTTGTGGGCAGATGCAGGCTCTATCATCAACTTTTGAACCATGCCTACTTTTGATCTAATAAAAGCAAGATTTTTCTAAGTCACAGTTTTTAGGTGTCTTACAAATGTCTTAGAGAAGAATACTAAGCCTATCAACTGAGGAAAAAGTTTGGTCTAGCCACCTTTCATTACCTAGAATGAATCAATTTATAATCATGGTTCCTGTCAAATTGAATATGAAGCAAAGCCATTGAAATGACAGGTCACTGGATTCAAATTTGATTTCATTTTCAAGGGCCTGTTTCAGGTGAGTGTATAAAAGATATTTTAATTCAACCTAACTCCACCAAAAAGTTTTTCCTTATGTTGGAAGGCTTCATTTACTAAAAATAAAAATGCTTTCTCTGTAAAAAGTAGTATTTATTTTTAAAGAAGATTTAAATTAGCTTAAAGTAGGTCAGAGCCATACAATTGTGATTTCCATCCCAGGCCCCCATTGTTTAATCAGAACTTCCCCTAGAGACAGATGGCAAGTCTCTAATCTCCCCCAGAGAAACAGATGGTAAGTATAGCATATAAGCATCAGGAGTGATCATTTATTATAAACATTAAAAATGCAGGCAAACAAGTAGATCACTTACTTATAGGAGTTTTTGTAAGCTTAGAATCCTCCATCTCTTTTTCATCCCTGTATTTTAGTGCTCTCTTAGGTCGAGACCTGGCGACTGGGCTCCTATCTGATTCACTGGAGAGATCTTGACTGTACTTGCAAGTGGGCAAATAGAGGTCATCAGAATCATCTCCTGAACCACTTGATTCATAGACGCTCACTTCAAATTCATTGTTGTTTTCTTCTCTGTTAGAATCATTGCTCATTTTTTGTCGGAAAGGAGTGAGATGAATACCCTCTTCCAAGTTAAAATTGTAAGCATCACTGGAAATGACACATTCATCCAACTTTTTTTTGGAAACAGTTTTTTTGTTTTCACTTTTGCTCCCTTTATACTTTGATACAGATTTTGATTTTCTCCTTCTGTTAGTTTTTCTTTTCTCTTCTCCTCTTCTTCCTTGTGCACCTCTGTGCTTATTTTCAGTTTGTTCAAATTTATATTCTAAAATGTTTTCTTTTGTTTTAGCAGGTCTTCCTGGGTCAATCAGCTTTGGTGATAAGTTAATTTGATCCTTATTCCATTGACAAACATTTTGTTCTACGTTTTCTGTTAGGTGCATGTTTACTAGTGGGTCTACACATCTTTCAGATTCAAAGGGCTGCACTGAGAAATGACTGATTTCAAAATCATCCAAGGTATTGAACTGACATAGATTGTTGAGATGTTTCTTTAAACTCCGACGGACAGATACAGTTCTAGGTAAGACATTATCAGCAGATTTATCTTCATCTGAATCCAAATCAAATCCCAGTCTATCTTGAGAAATAGGTATTTGCTCTGAGAATTTAAAAAGTAAATGAGAAAAATAGTTTTACTTTATGAAAACTTTAATTTCAGCAATCTTAGAACTCAAAATTAAAAATGGAATAAATGAAAAGTCATTCTGTAGTTTCTCCACATTGGCTCTAAGTAAATACAAATCTGGGGAACTTAATACTGCCATCTATTTATTTGGCAATGATCAATTGATGGCTTCTATCTGACTTGTGAAAGACTCTTATATAACCTTCGAAAATATTCTAACTGGGGGTTTTCTGTGTCCCTGATTTAAAGGTTTCAAGAAAAACTAGTAGGCTATATGTATCTATGTGTATGGGATTCAGTGGAAAAGAACCTCATATTTTAAAGTAGTACAAGTACACTTGAGAAAGTGGGAGCTAAGGTGTTCTTTGAAAATGAGTAAGATTGGGATAATTGCAAAGCCCTTCAGGTAAGAAATATAATCTGTATTTTTAGGAAAAGTGAGGATATTTGGTTCTGCTTATTCAAATGCTATCCCTTCTTCAAAGCTTAGTTCAAGTAGAAAGGATTGATATTTGAGAACAGGGACATGTCAATTTAGAAGTGGAAAGAATGGCATGGCTTTGGAAGTCAGCTTTGAGTTTAAACACTAGGTTTTACCATTCGGGCCACTTCTTGTAAGATACTTTACTTCTTTGAGTCTATATAAAATGGGACCAACTGTACCTACAGTCCAAGGTTGTTGTGAGGGTCAAGTGACAGAATGTATGTAAAATGGCTAACACAGAGCTTGGCACATAGTAGGGCTCAGTAAATTGCAGCCGTTTATAGCTGATTATAGATTTGGCAAAATAAATGGAAGTATTTTAAAACTGTTATTATTCCGTGTAAAATAAACAGATTTGCTTTGAGCAGAAGAATGCCAGATGAGCAAATTAAAAAGTTAAAAAAATACTAGAGAAATTTGTTACTTGTTCACAAAGATCTCATCTTCCCCTTAATAGTATTTTTAGATTTTCGCTTGAATTACCTTCTATTTGGAATGATTCTCCTTGTCCTGGAAGGTGAGCTTCCTGAAGAGGAACTTGTCTAGCCAATGAAAAATAGAAATTTATTTAACAATTTTATAATAAAAACAAATTTAAGATTTTCTTAAGATTAAAATTTTCTCTTTAGTATCATTTCATAATTCTATTTTAAATCAGTGTATCTGTTCAGTTTCAAGGAAAAAAAAACATTTATGCTGATTATATGGAGGCTGGTTTGTTATGACTGACATTCAACTCCCACTGGAAGAACTACCTTATCAATGAAGACATGCCATAACTCATAATTTCATTTACCTGGAGAAACAGCCAATCGTATTGACTTACAAAATCTATTATAGAAATGGAATCTGATTACTCTTTATCAGCCTGCTTCATCATTAGCTGAGCTATGATCTTTTTTTTCTTTTCTTGGTAGTTTATGTTTTTATGATGCCTAACTACTGACCCCTCTAAAGTTAATCCTATTTATTTTTAAAAATCTTGTCCCCCCTTTGGCTCACGAAACAATTTTCTTTATGCTTTAATACTATGACTGGCTGTTTCACCCTAATTTTATTCTTTATTCCCTGTAGAGAATTTTTCCCTCTAGACATTGAAAATTAAATACAGGTTTAAGTAAGTTATGGTAACTAATTAACAATTTCAGGAATCTTATAGAAAGTCAATTACCCCATCTTACTTTTTGACCATTACATAAATATTTTGTCAGATCTTACAGTTCAACTATTTTCAACTATTCATGATTAAAATTAATATGGGGATAGAAAGCAGCTTAGTGATTACTTTTGTGAAGAGAAGGGCATAGACTTGAAAGGGATAGGAGGAGATGGCTTATGGCAATGGTTCTAATTGGGGATAATTATATGGATACGTGGCACTGTCTGGAGACATTTTTGCTTCTCATAACTGGGGGAGGGAAGTGCCACTGACATTTAGTGGTAGAGGCCAAGGATGCTGCTAAATGTCCCACAATGCTTAGGATAGCCCTCCACAACAAAGGATGATCTGGCCTAAAATGTCAATAATGCTGAAACTAAGAAAGCCCAGCTAGAGTGACAGCAGTGCTCTATATCATAATTGAGATTTGGGTTCCACAGGTGTATACATTAGTCAAACTCATTAAACTGTGTAATTAAGATCTGTGCATTTTACTATATATAGTTATATCTCAATAATTCATAAGCATACTATACTTGATCTAACAGAAGGGGAGGAGGGTATATGGGGGTCTGACTATATTTAGGAATGAATTGGATTAGCAAGACAGGGTGAAAGTTGTGTTAAACATGATGTTTTATTATATTTCATTTCTAAACCAGACTATTTGTAGTACTGGCAAAATACCGTCATTTGAATAACCAATCCTTAGAATAAAAATATGATATAAGAAAAATATAACTGAAGAAATTCAGTTATATTTAAATAACTAGCTTATTCCTAGACATCAGAAAAGTAAACATAAGAAAGTTTTGGCTTGGCTAAATGTAACAATATCAATGTATCATATTTTTTTAAATACATTTTTAGAAGAGAAAACATCAGACTCCAAACACAAGAATCTGTATTATGCAAATTTTCTTTCGTAAATGCATCACAGAATTAAATCTTTCTTGATATTAGGAATCATAATAATGAAAATTTTTTATTATTTTTATTAAAATATAATATTTGTTTCAGGGGTACAGGTCTGTGATTCATCAGTCTTACACAATTCACAGTGCTCACCATAGCACATACCCTCTCCAATGTCCATCACCCAGCACCCCTTCCCTCCCACCCCCCAATAATGAAATTTGATACTAACTTCACAAATAAATCCCCAGAGTTGTTGTCACTATTGGAGTCCATTCCAGAGGGACATATTTCCTGGTTCTGTTAATATATTAAAACAAAGAAAACGGTGGTACAATTGAAATATTCATAACAAAGCATTCATTTATTTAACAATAAAAACATGTGCGCGCTCTATATGGTGTCAGGCTCTGTTCTAGAAACTAGATCTATAGCAGCTTAAAAATAGATTTAAGTCCAACCCTCATAAAGCTTAATTCTAGTGTAGGGAGAGAAAAATTTAAAATGAAGGGAAAGAGATATATAAATAATTATTTCAGATATTGATAAAGTGTTATGAAGGAAATACTCAGAGTTGAAGTGACAGAGTACTTGAGGTTGGAGGGTTCTCTTAGATAGGGTGACTTTCATCTGAAATCTAAAGAATGCAGAGGAACCAGCCATTGAAAGAGCAGGGAAAGAAAAAGTGGTAGAAACAGCAAATATAAAAGTCATGGTGTAGGAAAAACCTTGCTGTGTTTAGAAAAGAAAGGCCATTGTGGCTGGAGTCATCTATGACCTGTCTCATAGTGAGAACAGTAGGGCATGTGCGCACAGAGGCCACATAATGTGGGGCCTTGGGAGTCCATGGGTTTGGATTTTAGTCTAAGTGTGATGGGAAGTCACGTAAATGTTAAGCAGGAAAGTAAAATGATCTAAGTTTTAAGAAGATCAATCTGGCCACTGTGTGAAACATGGATTGAAAGGGGCCAAGAGCAGGAGTTAGGAAGTCATTGTAGTAAATCTAGCAAGACATTCATATTAGCTAGGACTCGAGTCCTATGGCTACAGAGGTAAAGCCCAGTGGAAGGTGTTAAGAGAACAAAGTGTGCTGAGATTGAATAGGGGTGGAGGTGGGGACAGTGAGGGAGAGGGAAGCCTCTTTGGTTTTGACTTGAGCAAATGGTTGTTTTAGGAGATTGAGTAAGACTCACAGAGACAGTATCTTTGGGAGAGGGAAAATAAAGAGTTGTACTTTGTACAAAATATGTTTGAGATCCTTTATAAGTATTTAAGTAGATATATCAAAAAGTAGTTGTGTGTGTGTGTTGAGCTATAAATTTGGAAGTCATCAGCAGACAGATAGTATTTAAAGCTGTGGGAGGGGGATAAGATAAGATGGGTCTAGGACAATGGACATTTGAAAGTAAAGAAGAAGCGAGCAAAGGAGGCTGACTTGGAACAGTCAGAAAGGTAGGACAACCAGGAGAGTATGATAGTAAGAAAGCTGAGAGATCAAAGTACGTTGTTTATTACTTCAAGGTCAAGAAGAAAGAGAAGTGGCCACTAAAAATGGGGGTTGTGGGCACCTGGCACAGTGACCATAGAACGATGGGGATAAAAGCCAGGTAAGAGTAAGTTCAAATGTATATGGAAGCTGAGGAAGTGAAGACAGTAAGTGCACTGTTCTCTCTGCTAAAGTTCTGCTGTGAAGGGAAGCAGAGAAATGAGTAGAGGGATGTGAAACCAGGAGAGGTTTCATTTATTTTCTTTTCCTCTTAAGGGAAGAGATACTAAAGCACATTTGTATGATGGCTAGAATGACTCAGCCAAGAGGGAAATACGTGTTGAAAGAGCACAAACTTTTAGGAGCAAAGTCCTAGAGATGAGAAAAAGGGAATCTGATGCACAGGGGAGGTCTCAGCCTTCCATAGGAGCAGAGGCACTTCTGCCACTGTGACAGGAGGAAAGATGAAGAACAGCAAAGACACAGGCAGATTTGTAGATTTGTATCAGGAAGGTGAAAGCTCCAGACAGATTCCTTAGAGATCACTCTAATTCAGTTCCGTTGTTTTTTTGAATTTGATGCACATAAAAGATGCTGACATTACGATAGGTTAAAACTGTTCAAGAGAAACAAAACAACTAGAAATTTAATCCTGTTAAAAGTCTTCAATTTATTTTCAGTATAGCTAATGTTCTAAATTTAAGTAGTAGTATTACTGAAGGTAAATAAAGGAGAATATTTAACTACAGAATAATATAATTTATTTTTATTTGTTTTTATTTTTTTAGACTTTTTTTTTAAAGATTTATTTACTTATTTGAGAGAGAGAGAGAGCACAAGAGAGGGGAGGGTCAGAGGGAGAAGCAGACTCCCCGCTGAGCAGAGAGCCCAATGCAGGACTCAATCCCACAACACTGAGATCATGACCTGAGTCGAAGGCAGACGCTTAACCGACTGAACCACCAGGCATCCCCAGAATAATATAATTTAATAACAAGTTACTAAAAAGATTCATTATAAAATTTAGGGAAGAAAAGGCTATTAGAAATTACTTTGTGATTAATTCCTATAAGCTAACTACTGTCAGGCAAGAAAAACATTCTTCTTATTAAAACATTTTAAGCTTTTCCATCACTGATAAATTGACTTGATGAGCATGGAAGCACGAGTATAGAATGATGGTTGAGAGAGAGTGACACATGTAGCAAGTATATGGCAGAAAACAAACTGATGTTTTAAATGCTAAGAACACTTTTGCCCAGCAACTAATAATATGTTTTAATAAATACTCAAAAATCATTGATAAATGTCAAAAGCCCTGCAATAATAGAATTCTTCCCACTGTTTTTGTGATTATCTTATCAGGTACTCATTTTTCACTATTCTATATATGATTCCATCAAAAACTTAGGAAAGGGAAAAGGAAGATTCAAATATCTTTGGAGGGATTTTTTTTTTTTCCTGACTAGTTGACTAAACAAGGAAAAGAAAAAAAATTAGGAAAGATTATATTCTGAAGGAAAAAAAAAACCCTTTTAAAAATAATCTAACCCTCACATGAAGGAAATTATATCAAATCTTTATAGACAATTCTCTGCTACACTGTATATGCATGTATTGCATATATATGCATATGTACATTCCCTGTATCATACACAGAAAAAAATATGTAATCATCTTAGGTGCAGGGAAGCAAGAACTCTTTCATTGACTCCCCCTGTCAGCAGAGAGGTGACTTTATTCCTTTCCTGAGTCTATATCCCCTAATCACTATGGTCTGGCTTTCTTCTCTGGTTTCCTGGCCCAAGTGCCAACACAACTGTCTTCACCAGCATAGCGAACAGATGGCCAACCAGGAAGAAAGTAAACTGTTTCTGTTAATACCCAGTTAATGTGTAGTTTTCCTTATTTAACCAACTCATAGTAAAAATGACTCTTCAAAAAGCACTTAAATACCCCCCTCCCAAATTAAGGTATTTCTTATAAAACCTTACTAAATGTAACAAAACTACATAGAAAAGGTAAGATTTATACCACTGATTAAAACTGCTGGACTAGCCTGCATCAAGTACCACTTTTAGACCTTTAGCTATTTTTGATTCACTTAGCTGAACAGTCAAAGGGACCAGCAGTGCAACAGGCTAAACTAGTTCTTCTGTACCTTGTCTTGCTACCTGCTTTCAGAACCAAGTTATACAAGCTCAAGCCTCAATCACGTATGTGCTTGAAGTTTTCTTAACTGGTGAGAGATGTTTTAATCAATTCACTGATAACAGAGCTATGAGTAATTAATTTAAATAACATAATTGATCTAAATTGCCAATTCATGGCTGTCACATTTTTTCCTCAGAAATTCACCATTTGTAATAAAAATACCTGAGCAGTTTCTTCTGTTTGTTGTGCAGTTAGTTTTTCTTTCAATGCATATAGCTGACATGTGAGGTAGTAACATTCTTTTCTCAGTTGGAGGATGATATCTTGGGCTTCTCTCACTTTGGATTTTTCATTTTGCAAAGCTAAAACTAACATTCTGTTGTTGTCTTGGTAGTTCTTTAGCAGTGTAGAAGTGTTGGCTAAAAGAGGATAAAAATTTTTTTATTATGTATTAAATCTAAACTTAAAAAGTGATGCAAAAGCACATGAAAATCTCTTACAGATTATCTGGCATGGTGCAGTTATAAAAGACTTTCGTTTGCCAATCTCTGCCAAATTTTTATTCCTTTTCTCTTTCATCCGTTTCTTTATGTCTTCAAGACTGTCTTGAAAGGACTTTTTAAGGCACCTTTCCTTGGCCATCTTCTGCCTGGGAATTTAAAACAATAAAAAGTAAGTTTTCTAAGAGAGAATATCATCAAATATAAAACAAGATTGAAAACACAGGTTGTTCACAGAGAATGGATTAAATAGACGTAGTAACTGTAGAGTTAGCTTAAAGAAGATGGCTAACCTAGTAATAACTTAGATTTTGCAGCTTTTAAATCTCATTAATATTTTGGCATAATATTAGCCTCTTCAGGTGCTTTATAAGCAAGGTTAATAAGTATGCATTTCAACCCAAAGACTCTGTAATATGCCACTATTTATTCTTTAACAAATACTCACTGGGGGCTTACTATATACTAGGCATTATGGGAAATACTTAATATTATATTTTGATATTTTTATGTTTCCTACAATGTTTATGACTAACATTTAGTGTTTTAGTGTTTACTAGACTTACAGCATTAGTTCAGAGGTAATCATATATGTGGGCTTTGTTTTCCAGTTCTGCTCTATATTATTAATTTATCAGATTAGGTCACTTGATTAACTCTTTCTTCCGCACTCTTTTAAGCCAATACTTAAGATATAGCATGTACTCTCAAGAAAGTCAAGGTGATCTTCAGAGGTTTAATTAAACTATGTAGCACTATATACAATTTTAATAGGCTACTATAACAATTATAGAGCTAGAAAGAATAGGTACTGAGGCAGGGGAACATGCCAGTTTTCTCAAAGTTATTTTTAAAACTCAGGTCTGCTAGCTCCTAGTAAGTCATGAATATAGCAAACAACACATTAAATAATGATTGTTCTACATAGTTAAAAGTAGCAAAACAAGTGCTGATAGTGTCATATGTTACTGAGTGTATTAATACATAAATACACTCAAATCTTTCAATGCAGCAAATCAGATTTGCTTCAATATTCTGCTACTAAGCATATCAAACTACTTTTCATGAATATCTTTTACCCTAGATTGCACTTTGCAGATCTTAAAATTGCAAAAATAATTCTTGTTTCCTACAACTACATATACACTACAAAAGATACCTCCATCTCCTCTAAGTGAGTCAAATATTTTACTCAATCTTACATTTTCTTGAGTATTTTCTCCAGGCCTTACTTATTTTCCTCTAAACACTGGGGGTGTTAAATATAGATATTGTAAATCTCATTATTTTCTCTCTGACAGTGTAGATACAACATATACTGAGATGTTTCTAGTAGAGCAGGCACAACTATTTTTTTTAAAGCACTAATGTTAAGTGGGTTGTGTAAGACAATGTATCACAATGGAATTTTTGAAGTTCGAACTGGAGATGTTTGAGAGCCATACAGATTAAGTAACTGATCAAGTTAGTTTAGCAAAGCCTTACCTAAAAAACTGTTATTACCTTTAACCAACTTAAAATCACAAAAGAAATTTGCCGTATCAGAAGTTCCCTGTCTAGGCCGATGGTATTAACAGGGGGTGTGGTGGGGGGAGCGAATGAAAACAGGTCAGTGTGGGATTAGAGTCCGTGTGTATTCAGGTAAAGGGTCTGGATTCAGACGAACCTGGAATAATATTTGATCTCCATCATAATTCTTTCATCATTCCTGCTGCTGAAGCAGCGAGGTAGGACACTGATCAGTGCTAGCTTCTCCAGGATAACCGAAGAAGCAAACAAGGTCAACGGTATCGCGCTGCACAAAGAACAGCTGCCAGTTTGTGTGCCCTGACATTAAGCCTGGCTTTTAACTACTGTAAATGCTTTTACACATCACTTAATCCACAAAATTCTGCAAGGCATGAGGTTAGGGCACCCCAGTAGTTAACAGAAGAGGAAACTGGAGCGTCGGAAAGCGCAAGTCGGATGGATGAACACAGAAAGGCACCGGATCAATCCCACGCCACAGCCTGAGCTTCTGGACACCGAACTTGGAAGGACAGAGACACCCCTGAAAATAGAGGAACAGGGACCACAACACCCCTGTTCCACACCTGAAAAACCTGTGTTCTCCTCTTTCTCGGAGGGCTCAGCTAAAGTCGGGGGGGGCGGCGGTTGCCGGAAGAGGGCCCGGAAACCCTCCTCCCACAGGCACGTCCCAAACAGTACCTTGGCCACCACTTCTGCCGCAGCTGTCGCCCTTCTCCTTACATTCCAAGGTTCCGCGAGGCGGTCCGACCGGTGTATCCCGCGCTTCGGACCCTCCGGGGCTAGGTTCTGTCTACTGTCGCCCGCCGGCTAACACGGCCACATTCGAAATTCTCCGCCGCGCTCACCCATTGGCTGGCTGACAGGTGGTCACGTGAGGCGACGGCGCTGCGAAGGGCGCATCAGAGTCCCGCCCCACCGGGTACCTCACGTGACTCACTCCGAGCGTTCACATCCGGGCGTCTACTGCTCCCCGGTCCCGGGAGGGCGGGGTCACTAGTCTGCGCGGTGACCTGCCGCCACTTTTTTGCTCAGAGTCGTTGGCTTTTAGGGGTGGAGCCGCTGCGAGATCTTTAAGGGTGCGTATTTTAGGGCGTTCAAAAGCTTCCTGTTGCTTTAGTCTAGCAGCTTCCCGTCTTTGAGATTGTACTCGTGAGCTCCCTCTTGTGAGAAGAATCTCCTTGATTGTTTGCCCACTCAAGCAGTCGACCTGCTGCACAGAGGCATCTGGTAGGGCCATTAAAGCCAAAATAGGAAGCACATTTTGGATTAAGGGGATATTAGGGAAGTTCCAGATATCTGAAATATTCAGCTCCACTTTCTTTGTCTGGCTACCTCTGGCTCTTTAACCCTCGGGAAATGGCACTGGCATCCACACAGCTACTGACCTAGAAGTCCGGGAAATTTTCCTTATTGTTTTTTTTATTCTCCCTCACCCTTTCCATGCCCTGTCAGTCACCCAGTCCTGTCAGTTCTACCTTTTAAGTATTTTTTTCACGTCCAAACCCCACTATTTTCCATACAGCCAAATACCTAATCTCTTTCTATGGACTGTGTACCAGTACCTACTCTGACCGCAGACTCCACTCCCTTATGTTCTTCATAGAGTGATATTTTGACAAAGCAAATATGATTGAGTATGAAGCACTTATATGACTCCCCACTGCATTTAAGATGGGAGTTCAAACTCCTAAAGATGTTTGGTCTTTAAAGAGCCCTGTGGTTTCTAGTTTCACCTCTTCTGAATTTTCTTTCATTTCCTCGTAATTCATCTTGCTACTTTTGCCCATGCTGGGTTTTTTTTGTTTTTGTTTTTTTAAGATTTTATTTATTTGAGAGAGAGAGAGACAGACAGTGACAGAGATAGCAAGAGAGCACAAGCAGGGAAGAGAGGGAGAAGCAGGCTCCCGCCCAGCAGGGAGCCGGATGTGGGACTCCATCCCAGGACCTCCAGATCATGACCCCAGCCCAAGGCAGGCGCTCAACTCACTGAGCCACCCAGGCGCCCTTGCCCATGCTGTTTTGTTAAGAGCAGTCTTTCCTCCCCCTGGGCCCACTTAGTCTTATTCATGCTGCAGGTCTCATTGTAGAGGTGAATTATCTGTCCCCAAAGCCACCTTAATAGCTTGCTTTGTACATCCTGGTGCCGTGCATGCACTTTTCCTTTGGTACCCCGTGTAGCAGTGACTTCTCATTCATTGCCTATTTATTCAACTTGCATAAAGCTAGGAACTATATATGTCTGTTTATAGTTAAGTATTCAGCATCTCTTGGGGCACCTGGGTGGCTCAGATGGTTAAGCGTCTGCCTTGGGCTCAGGTCATGATCCTAGGGTCCTGGGATCGAGCCCCGCATGGGCTCCCTGCTTGGCGGGGAGCCTGCTTCTCCCTCTCCCTCTACTGTTCCCCCTACTTGTGCTCTCTCGCTCTCTCTGTCAAATAAATGAAATCTTAAAAAAAAAAAAGTATTCAGCATCCATTTAGCAATTTGCTGTTAGTAGATATTCACTGGGACAAAAGAAGAATAAGTAAATGAAACCTAAGCAGTTGTTTTGAATTTAGGCATCAATTCATCATGAAGGTTTTTTTTTTTTTTTTTTAAGATAACTAACATTCACATCCTTATCCTTGTCTAGGCCTCACCTCACGCCTTCTTGGCTTGAGTGGAAGAGATTAGAACATCTGTTTTTAGCCAACAACTTGTTCTCCCAGTGTTACGAGCCAGGTCACTTCCATTAGTTTACTACTCTGGGCAGTGTGGCTTATATGTGCAGAAGCATCAAGAAGAAAGGATCAGGGCAGACATGCTGTGCCGGCTTGGCGGTAGGTGGCCACGGCTACTGCCTGCGCTGCAGCTCAGGGCCTTGGGCCTGCTGCTTGCGCCAACCTCAACAGGCGGCATTAATCAGTCTGCTCTGCTGGTGTGGGTGGTGGCGTCAGTCTCTGCAGTTGGGGTTAGGGGCCCTGGCCACCTTGGCACATGTGCAGGGCGCGTTGGAGTTGCTACTCGGTGTGCATACCGCCATAGGTCTGCCCTGGTGGACCTGCATTGGCCTCACCACTGTGGCCCAACACTGCGTAGTCACGTGCCTACCACACGACATCCTGGCCAAGGTGGAAAATTTGCAGCCAGAAAAAAAAAAAAAAACAAACATTGCAAGGCATCTTAACCAAGAAGTTGCAGTTCGTACAAATCAGTTGAGGTGGTCCAAAAGATTTGCTAGGCTCACTTATCTAAAGAATATGTGGAGGCTTGGGGCACCTGGGTGGCTTAGTTGGTTAAGCCGAGGACTCTTGATCTTGACCATGTCAGGGTTGTGAGACAGAGCCCCAGCCTCGGGCTCCATGCTGAGCGGGTTGAGCCTGCTTGGGATTCTCTCTCTCCCTCTATCTCTGCCCACCCCCACCCCACCCTCATTGCACTCTCCATCTCTTAAAAAAAAAAAAAAAGAATATGCGGAGGCTTTTTTCAGAGCTGTACGTTCGGGATAACTGCCACCCTTTGAAAACCACTGTGTTGGTCTGGATTCAGTTTCTGTTGTGGATCTTCATGTCTGTTACTCTCCAGAATTTTAGCAGAGGGGCAATACATACAGAAGCAGGGATTTCCATTCAGGAACCACTTAGCTTACTGATGGGGTCCTGTAGTTTCCTGACCTCACTGCACCACTTGGGTTCTGCCTATCTCCGCTGGTGTCATCAGTTTATTAAAGTGGAGATTTTTGCTCTGCAAAAAATTGGAATGTCTTATTTTCAGACATATGTTGCATACTTTGTGCGGTATCACTGTTCATGATTCCACCTGCTGTGACAGTGCCTTCAATGATTGTCTTCCACTGGTTATGCTCCAGCTTCACCGGCCTTTCATAGAACTTACTGCTGTGTTCTAGGTTTTGCCAAGTTTGCTGAATGCTGGTGACCAAGTCACCAGATTCAGATATTCCTTATAAGGACCTCTTCACTGCCTTTTACACTAAGTTCATTTAAAGAAAATGACATACTTTTCAATAATTTCAAAACAATTGCCAAGTGTTACTATCACAATATATTTAGGCTTAGAAATTCAGATGTGATTTAATTTGTTTTTATTTAAAATCATGAATTGTGTGAAGTACTATGGTTAAGATATAATCCAAATATATTTGACAACACTTAAAATCTTTTAAGTGCTAGAAATGTATGCTTAATTCTATCCTAAAGGGACACTGGGTGGCTCAGTCAGTTAAGCGTCTGCCTTTGGCTCAGGTCATGATCCCAGGGTCCTAGAATCGAGTCCTGCAAAGGGCTCCTTGCTCGGTGGGGAGCCTGCTTCTCCCTCTGCTTGCCATTCCCCTTGCTGGTGTGCTCTTTCTCTCTCTCTCTGACAAATAAATAAAATCTTAAAAAAAAAAAAAATTGTATCCTAAAAACACAAAAGTAGAATCGAAGTGTCTAATTCTGCTTATAAAATTACTAGAGGCACCAGAACTTTGGAAAACAGGATTAAATACTGGATGATGTCAAATTATACTGACCAGTCTCATACATTAAAGCTTTATAAAGTAAGAGAATCCAGTGAGGTGATTCTTAAAATTTTGGAGGTGTGGAGGATCATAGACCCATTTGCACATCTGCTAAAGCTATGGTTTTCTTTTCAGAAAAATCCTGGGACTCACAACATGGGGGCCTTCATTGATGACCCCCCCTTACCCCTCCCCAAGACTTTCTGGTAATTCCTGGTTAAGAAATCTTATTCTAATGGAACACACAAGGATGATGAGTTAATGTGTGACTTTTATAAAATGAACTTGAGATACATGCAATAGAGTAGTCCTTACAAGAAAGTACCTAATATAGTAGGTGATATTGCCTTTCAACACTGTTCTGAAAGAATACAAAAAGGGTACATTCCTTTTCTATAACTAAAGAAGTCTGGAATAGAGTGTAGCACTAAGTACTGCTAGAACCCAAAGTGGAAAATCTTAAGCATTAAGTTTGTTTACTTAAAGGAAGAAAATCAAAAGGGCAGCTACCTATTATGGAGGCGATTTTATAAACTTTATTTGGAATGATTAAGTACTCTAATGGGTTTCAACTATGATAGATGTTTAATATAGGAAAAATTAATAGGTCATATAAATTGTGGATCCGGTTGTTTGCTTGTTTGATTTGAAAAGATGATAAAACTAATTGCAGTTTGGGATATTTATGATTAAATTTGACAGTCATTTGAGAAGATTAAAAAATAATAGGAGAAAGGATCACAAATTAAATTAAAAAAATTTTTTTTTTATTGCTTGAGGCCAGAAGGTGTGAATTAGAAAGTGAGAATAGGGATGGCTTAATGAGCATGTGACCTGTGCTCAGAAAGGCCTTGTACTTGGTTTAAGGTTCTGCTCTTACCATTTTGAAATGCCTTTTCTTTTTTTTTTTTTCCCCTGAAAGGTCTTACATTTATTACTGAACCAACCTACGGGTGCAGAGGCATAGTAACAGAGAAAAATCATTTCCCTGATAAAACATGTCTGTTGGCCAGGTAGGAAGGATGTTTACAGAGTGATAGAACACATGATCTTCATGCAGCTTAATTAAATATGTGGTGCCAATTAGGTGTGTCATCTCATGATGTGTGACACCTTATAGACCCATCTTGGTTCTTCTCCGGTGCCTCCTCTTGGAGTTGTACCTGATTTTATTACCAGTTTTTATCCGAATCCACTGGAGAATGGGATGATTCTGCTTTTGTTTCTTGGCCAGGAATTACTTGATTCTGAAAGTCTTGTGAGAAGACGTGGCGAGAAACAGTCAGCCACACATAGCAGGATGGTGGTGAAAAAGAGAAAAGCTTGAAACGCTTAATAATTTATATTTGAGCTTGTGATTTGTAGGTGAAGTCTGATAAGACAATGGAACATGCACATGAGCAAATGAGATAACGTGCAATATGTGTGTCCATCTGTGTCTCTTGTTGCCTCATTGCCATATTGTGTTCAGGATGCTCAGTAAATGGCTTCC